GAGACTCAAAGCTTGAAGAATTTATATAAACACCTTGGGCTCGCAAATAGTGGCGACGTTCATGTTAATTCAGTATCGGATTTCCATCTATTAACATTCGTGAAAGGAACTAATGTGTTGGACATGGTATTTATTTGATTACCTACATTTTATCTTATTTGTATCAACATATTTAGAAAGAAAAATTTCTATTATTATTATGAATATTCAGAACGATTTTGCGGCACTCGCAAGACTCGCGACATCACATGAAGAAAAAGATGCCATTCAGTTATCACAGAGTGCTGGATGGCAAACGTTGGTGGCTATTATGAAGAGCGGTAGGTAGTGATGTTTTTTTGCTTTGTGATGTTCGATCATAAATTCTAAATCGCCATAATTGCCAAATGAATGATAGAAAATGCGAACCTGCCTAATGGTAATGAAGGGGGCTCACTAAACAGTTTTCCAGATATAGGAGTTGGTGGTGGTGGTGGTGGTAGCAGTAGTAGTGGTAATACTTCTGGGTTGGAATGGAATTGTAGATATTGCACATTCACCAACACTCGCATGGCAGTAAACTGCGACATGTGTGGTTTACCGAAAGATGCTTGATTCTCTTACACGAATCAAAGGTGAAACTGTTTGTAGTTACATTAAATGCTCTTCGGAAAGGATCATTTGTCCATGATTTGATGCTTTCATACATAGCTTCCGCTTTTGTCATTGTTGATTTCCCTGTTCTGTAATTTTTAAGAATTACCATTGTTGAGAATTTATTTCGCACTGGGGAAAACATAATAATGCTTCTGATTCTCAGAATCAAGAATTCAGTTTCACAAAGAGGTTTAACATTCATGTTCTAATTGATGAGGTTGATTGAATGGATTGCAAAGATTTATGATTCCAAATAATCTTTAAATAATGTCACAACATTAATATCATTGAAAACAATGTATTTGTATACAACAATGGATCGCCATATATTTATTATACAATCTGATTACCACCCTTCATCCTTAGAGTAATTTGCGTGCAAGACGCAGGGTACTGAAGACTATATCGTTGACGTAGACATTAATTTAAATGGTACAAAATGAAATGTCTTTGACTTCCGATTACTTAAATAAGTTGAACAAAGAGTATGCGCTAACATAACTCAATGACTCGACAACCCCGCTTATGTATAATTAATAATAATCACGATGTTGGATACGTCGCCGTATGTAAATTCAAGTTCGAGAGAGACCTAACGATCGACATTGACTTACGATTCTAATAAAACCGACCAGACGCGTAAATTGTGATCGGTTTATTAGATAGTGGTTATTAAATTACTAATCTGGTGTGAAACCTGTTCCCTATCCTGATTTAGTTGATCCGAAGTTGCCAAATCTATTGATTGCATAGAACGTTTTATTTTTATGGTCAACACATTGTAGTCAAGATAGAAATGCATTAAACTCGTTATACCATACCCCATTAGCTTTTCCATTTCGGGATTAATCTCCTCTTCATTAGCATCATCTTTTCCTGATTCACCATTAATGTCATTTTTTCCCGACTCGCCTTTCTTTTTTGCTTTTTTGCGTTCCTTCTTACGCCTTTTTTCCTCTTCTTCTTGTTTTTGAGACTTCTCTATCTGCGCATCAAAATCTGTGATTTCGAAAAGAATCATTGGAGCGTGTGAGAAAAAAGAACAAACCACCGAATTCAATATGATAAAAGCCTCGTCTACCATAAATCTGGGGACCTTCCTCTTTCTTCTTCTTTAATTCGGCCATCTTTGCCTTAACTTGTTCTAAACTGCTTCGCTCAACTTTCATCGTCATTCCCAGGGCACGCTGATCTAAATATTGATGATATTATGTCAATCCTGTTTCCCGGATACATCGACGTTACTTTAATGAACAAAGGACCTACGTTTTTTTCCGTTGATATGATCCAAAAAATTTACACTGTCTTTGACAACACAATCGCACTCCTTACAATGGAATCCCGGTTGCTTGGAAGCGATACCAGTGGATTGGACGACCTGGATCTTGTTCAAGTTTGTATCCAGAACGACCCTTTCCGTACGAGCCTTTAGGAGATCCCGAGGTTGCTCCGCTTCAGAACTCGGGTGCTTGGCCTTTAGACCTTTGCGTTTACGATCATCATCTTCCTCACGTTCACGGTCTTGTCGAGCTCGCTCCCGTGCGCGTCGTTCATACGCCTCCTTGTCCCAAGTACGACGAAAATTTGTGTCTTGCTTTAAAATGCGAAGAATGAAGTTTAGCCATTATCCCATGGTGAACTTCGAGTTCGTATTAAAGTCGCACAGCTTACCGCTCCTGGTTCGTAAAAGCCCTTCTTTCTCGGATCAGACATGATGTGGAATTCATATTATGTCAGCTCATAGATATACTTTTTTTTGCGAGAATCTCACGTGATCAAATGTATCACTGTACCACCATTGCCCAATTTGGAATTGGTTGGTGCCTATAAAATTGGTCGAATTTCATGATATTCCGAGAAGCAAAA